GTATCTGGATTTGGTTGTTCATCAGAAAGAAGATTCTATGTAAAGTGAAATTTTATAATCAAGATATACTATAGAACAGAGGGAATTGTCTAATATTACACGAATCATACTGTGATTGATATTGCACATATTATGTTGACCAATTTTCCACGTGAGGTTTTTACAGACAGATGCAACAAGTTTAATTAATTAAAATTGATCATAATTATGTAATAAGGCGATTTCCACAGCAATAATAAAAGATATTAAAACTTATTTTTAAATTTTTTTGATTTTTATTGCAATTGTTGAAATGTAAGCTTTATATATTTTAATAATTTATCTATTTCTACTGAATTGCCTATTATTTTATTGATATCATCTAAAGTTTTATTATTGACTACAATTTCATTCCCCTTATTCATTGACTTATTTTCAAATACTTTATTAGTCATACTTAACATTTTTATTAATTTCGTATTGAAGATAATCTAAACAAATAAGATATTTAAAATAAGATTTTTGTAATGGTATCCATGCCCACATGTCAAAACAATGCCATTATACAAATCATAAACCCTGTCGCAGTGTATTGAATCATATAAAACTAATATGTTGGGCTTTATAGAAGTAACAAAGCCTCTTAGAAGATTATGATCAGTCACATCGTAATCTAGTGAAGTTAGTTGGTATGTATTGATACTATCTTTCAAAGATTTGATAACGAGGTGAAGATTACAATTTTGATATACTTTTGCAAATAACTCTAAAAGCAGTATAGAGCACTTTTGATAAAGCATATCTAACTGCTTTGAAGTATATGGATACTTCGTAAAATTTATGAAATTTTGATGAAAAGTATTATCATTTCTTTGCTGAAAAATAGAATACGCTTCTTTTTGCAACTGATTGGTAGTAAAAAATTTGGAAGTATGCCTTCGAATAATACTATATACAATTTCAACTGGAGAATTACTAAGAGAAGCCAAATGGTTAGTAATCATTTCAAACATTAGATGACCAGTCTTCATTCAATAAAAAACATCAGAAAAAAACATTAAGTGAGTATGTTTATAATTCTTTCAATCAAATCAGAGGAAGAGATCACTCCAATAGCGCATACATGCTTCCTCATAAGCTGGCTAGTTTCCTTCATGATAGTGTACGGCATAAACATCAAGAACTAGAGGAATTAAATTATCTAGTAAATTAGTTAGATATAAAAATTCTATATTCTTACACATATAACCAAATTTTGAATGACCTGTATTAGCAATATTAGACCACGCCATATACACGATATGGAGAATTAAATCAATTTTCCGTGGCTGTGGTGTCTTACCAATATTTTTTTTTACACCAAAAATATTCTTGTATATATTAATAAATAAAAGTGAATTCTTTTTATATACACGCTCATGACCATTCAAGGATATGTGAAGAGGCCCTATAATAGGTAAGAACGACGTAACAAAAGGAGAAACAAATTCATTATTAAGAAGAAGTCATTGAGCGATAGCTTTATGAATGAAAAACTAACCTGGCCAATCAGCAACTATAGGAACCACACAATTAGAAAGATATAGCTGCATCGACTCTTGAATATGTACAGTATAAAGAGCCTCCAGGTATTCCTCTATACCTTTCAAGTCTTTCTCAATAAAATCGATAAGAATAGAGTTGTGTATATGCTAATCATTTTTCTTCTCTATGAGCCTATCATTATAACTATGTAATACTAAATTATCTATTACCTTTTTATCAGTATATACTTTAGTACTTTGCATGTGAGAATACAAAACACCAAGATTTATAATAAAACATGTGTTAATATGTTTTATAATCAAACCTTTATCAATAAACCTCAAATTAATGACTCTATAAAACGGAATTGCTAGTATTAAGGATGGATTTACTAAAATTGTTGCTATATGTGTTGGCCTAGAAGTACTAGTAGTGTCAGGTTGGTGTGGAACATGAATATTGTGATAGTCATCTATGTTTAGCACGAGTGCATTGTTCAAATGCTGTAAAAGTGCACTCTCCGTATTTTTTTCATACTCATTGAATATTCTTCTCTTTCTCTCATTTATTGTTTTTGATGTTGTAGCAATACCAAGATTTGCCATTGTATTCAAGCCTTCTCCTGCTGAACCTAAATAAAATGCTAGATCAAGCTTAAAAGAATTAATTCTCGTGTTATTTAAGGATGTGAGAAGATAACATATTAAAACCATCAATCTCTTCATGCGGTTCATCGTTTGCTCATTATATTCATCTAGCCAAGCTGCAGAATAAAGTTGAATAAAAAAATCTTCAAGAGTTGGGTCAGTTTTTTAAAATAATTCACACATCTCATCAAAAACATATATAAGACCTTCCTTTTTTACATGCTCTCTCTTATAAAGAATTTTGGCTATAGACTTAATAGCTTTAATAAGATTGATTTTACTCAAATCGCTTACCTCCTTTAACAAACTTGTCTCCTTCACCTCAGCTATAGGTTGATCTTTAATGATTCTTGCTTTCTTGGGATCTCTGCTTAATAGGTTTTGTACTAACTCCATGTAACAAGAATTATATAAAATAATACCTTCTATCCATATTTCTTTCACTAACCTATTATTTTTAGCTTTGTTTTACTTTTTATCTTTCAATACACGGAATTTACAAGATTCAGTGGCTTGGCAGTTAATATATTCCTTCATTTTATATAGATCTTTTAAGGGCAAAACTATATTTAAAAGTTGTGAGATTCACTAGGATTTAACTAATATTCTTAAACTACTATACGAAAGCTTCAAGTTTACTTAAAACTACCCTATGTTTTAAAGTAAATTAAGTAATGTGAGCTCTTTGAAAAAATACTCTAAAACAATATAAAAAAATTTTTTATGAATTGTGTAACTGATCTACAAATGATGTGATGGTTTCCCCTAAGAATTAAAGTAGTTACATTATCAAATGCTATTACTACTTCTAGTATTAAATACCTTATAACTAAAATACAACTTGTCTGGTTACCATGGGTATCTATCTATGATCTGCCAAAACAAGAGTTTAGCTCCACCTGCATTAGGGTTACTTGCTACAGGTGTTCACTGACTGGACCTTGCAGCTGATCATGATTATATCCTCCTTCCTTCACAATTTTTTCTATCTAGTTCTGGGCAGAAGAGTAAAATCTTTACTTTTATTCAAGAAAAGCACTCACTAGCTACAATTACAAAAGAAATTTAAAAAGCTCGAAGCTAGTTTAGGAAAAGAGAGAGAAAAAACAAAAACAAAAGAAAGAAAAAAAAAACAAAAGAAAAAGAAAAAAACAAAAGTAGAATCTAAACTCTATTCTATTATAACTAGAAAAAGATAAAAAAAACATAAAAGAAGAAAAAAATAAACACAATCAGAGTAGCACTATTATAACCTGTGCTAGGCTTAAAAATTATATACTAAATGCAACATTTGTATATCTCTACTATAAAGCTATACCTTAACGGAAAATTTCTTTCTGACTATCTGAACATTCATGTATAGCATATTAAATAGAGGCCTTGTCATGTGAAATAGCACTACATTCATTGGTAAACAAAACACATGGTTGCAATCTACTGTGATATCCCAATTTGTATAGAGTAAACAATGCTGATCTTTTGATTCATGATCAGACTTTCGTTTAATTGGCTAATGTAAATCAATTGCCTGGGTAACTTATTTATACACTTTAAAGTACTTTTTAATAATGTAACATTTCACTAATAAAAAAATACCACAAAAGCCATTCCTAGCTTTAAACGAACGTTAATATTCACTGTACAAAAGAATCTCAAAAAGATCTCACTCCTCGTGGACTTTGCTTAGAAGACAAAATATATTGCTGTCTATTGGGTGTGTGAAATTATACAGTAGAGTGAAGGTAACTGGAGATATTTTTTGTCTAAACCTATTTTTATTACATCAGATTTAAATAAACTTCTATTTCCAACTATTTAATTTGAATAGATACAAGCTCTTAGCAGTAGAAGCTTCGGGCTTAATATTTAATTTTGTTGGTTCTTGTAGTGTGTTTGGAATTTGTTACCCATAAATTAATAGTTAAATTTGGTTTATATTGTATAAATTCTTTAATGAGCTTGGGTTTATTAGTAATAAATATTACATTTACATGTACCTATCTATTCTCTTTCTCTAAATCTAATTAATAAATTCTTTTGTGTATATTTATTAGTTTATAAGTTTCTTTATGCGAGGTTTTTTTCATTTTCTAGTACTGTAGTATTAATTAAAATTATGTATTTTGATTGGTTAATTATCACAGGAAATCACAGGTAAATCTACAAAAATTAACCAATTATACGAATGTCTGCCCATGATCTTTTGATGGAGGTAAGCTGTTTGCCCACTTTTTATAAAAATTTTGTTGAAAAAGTAAGTAGGTAATAGTATAAAGTATAGCCCTTGTACTCTTCTTAAAGAAATGTATATTTTTTTTCAAAGCCAATAAAATATATAGAGCCAAGTATACTGCTAGTTTTTTTGTCAGTAGGTAATAAACTCTGAACTTGTTCACAAATAGTGTATAAGAACTACTTCTAAATAACAAGAGCCATTCTTATAGTGAGTGATAAGCTCTAGGCTTGTTAGCAGGTAGCATATAAGAACTATCTCTAAATAACAGATGCCGGTTTATGGGTTTGACTAGTCTTATTTCTATCTTATCTATCATAGTTTACTGTTTTTAAAAAAAAAAAGTTTGTTGTGATTTTGGTACAAGAGATCATTGTATAATAATAATATAATTATTATATAATAAATATATTAATTAAATATATTTTTATTCTGTAAAATTACTACTAATTAGCTTATTAATTTACAAAAATATATATATTTATAATATAATAATGATTACAATAAAGCAACTATGAATCTAACTTTAACTTAACTATAACTACTCTAACTACTAACTAACTATAAAACAACTATAATCCTAACCCTAACCCTAACTCTAACTACTAATATTAAAATCAACATTCCAAAAGCTTATACAATAAATTTACCAATATAAAATGCTAGCAATGACATGCCACAAAGCTACTGAAATTGGTAGTATCATATTAAAAAGTAATAACAGCACTACAAATAACGATTTTGAAGATAACTTCAATATAAAAAAAAGAATTAGTCAGTAAAAGGTATATATAAAACTAACAAAATCAAATGAAACTCCAAAGTGACTTCACTAAACCCACCAAAATGACAAACTAACAAAAGCAAGAATTCAAAAATAATATTGAAATTGACACCACAAAACCTTATACAACAAATTCACCAAAATGAAACACTAGTATTGACATATTGCAAAGCTACCAAAATTGAAAGCACCACACTAGAGTTAATATGTGGATCTGGATATAACTCCTTAAATCTGGATATAATTATTAAATTCGGATTTAATGATTAAATCCGGATTTAATAATTATATCCGAATTTAGTTATGATAACTGGATTTAATGATTATATCCAGATTTAACGTGATAATACGTTAACTGATTGGCCAAAAATTATATGAAATTATACGCCCTTTCAAAGCTAACTTTGGATTTTATGTAGAGTATACTAAATTTTAATGACAACCTTATTTGTTCAAACCAAACCTCTTACAAGATCGCACTTGGAATTGTAAGATTGGAATGTGCTTATTATTTATTAAGATAAGTTTATATATGTTTTGCACGTTCTAGCATTATCTATTACTTTACTAGATCACAAAATTATACATTTTCAAGCGAAAACATAAGAAAGTGTTCAGAATTTCTTTTTAAAAATAGCATCTTATCTACTGGATTAGGGGCGAGACGAGTCCTTCTAGCTGAAATATGTGTATTCGCATCAGAAAACAACCGTTCTGATGGGACTGATATAGTGGGAATAGATAGGTACTTGCGAGCAAGTTGGCTAAAAAGTAGATAATTTATACATCTATTTTCCCACCACATTAACGGGTTATGATTTTTATAAGCAATTGGTTCTTTCATATAGCGAGTGAATTCATCTTTAGTAACATCTTGATCAGATATTGAACATGATCCCCATAGCTCAGCGCTTAACGAATCTTGAAGATCTTTGTTGGTAGTTACTAAATTTCTTTCTATTTCTTCACTATTTGAATTGGTTACCTGAGTTTCTAATACTAATAATTCAGCACGAATCTGGGCTTCAGTTTCTTTTTTCTCTTGAATAGTAACAAATGGAAGCAATTTAATACTCGTGGATCTAAAATAGAAGCCTTCGTTATAAATCAAACCAAAAAAATATAATTGATTAGTTGGTTAAATTTTTTAAAAATCGATTAGTCAATTAATTAATTGACTAATTATTAGTTGATATATCAAGATATAATTATATAGCTGTTATTTAAACAACTAGTCGATTAACTAGTTAATCGATTTGAAACACTACCTTCAAGCCCATTTCATTAGATGTGCTCCATAATTCATCAAGAGATAGAAAAATAGCAGCTCGTGCTTTTTCTAAAAGCCCAAAACAATTTGTGGATAGCAAATATTCTACGGTATTAGTATCACTTAACTCAGGAATTATTTTTTATTTCTTTTTTTTTTATTTCTTTTATGCTTAACCCGATTTTTATGGCGATGTATACTTCTATGTGCATATTGCCATTGTTGCCGATTTCCAGCTGATGGTATATCAGCTTCATTATCACTACTGAGGCTTGACTCATCGGTAGTATCTAACTCTTCTAAGCCATAAATTAGATCAATCCAAGATTCTAACGATTCTCCTTTCTCGCTTATTGGTGCAAACTTATTTTTTAAAATTCGAATATAAAGGTATACGAGATTTAGGATAGGATAATTTGATCTACAAATATGCCTCGTAATTTCTTCAAATAGTTTTAAGAGATCAACCATTTGTCTACAAATCTTAAAAAAAAAAAAAAAAAAAAAAAAAAATTAATAGAATAATATACTCTTTATTATATGATTTATAGGTATTTTATAATTCTATATTATACTGATCCATATAATTTTATGTTATTCATTACTAGAAATACAGTATAATTAAGATTATGTCTAACATTAACATACTTTTTTTCTTCTGTAGTTAAACACAATTTAAGAAGCTTTTCATCCTCCCGTTTCGATATAATATCCAGCTTATTTTGTAATGATGTTACAAGCCTTAGCATTGCGGGATGCAACAATAAAATTTGTTTCCACACCAAGTAAGTAGAATTCCAACAGGTCTTACAGTCGGTCAAAACATCAAGTGGGCTTATTATTTCATCTTCAGCATCGTCTTGGTTTTCATCAAATGAACTCATTTGTATTTGTATTCTTTGCAATCGTTGTGCCTGCTTTGGAAGTCTAAAAAATGATTGAATGCTTTTAAGCCATTTATGAATTGGTTTAATTTGTTTTAACCCTTCTTTTACTGAAAGTTAAAGGGTATGAGCGACGCATGATTGCCAAATAATATTAGACAAGTAATTTTCTTTTAACAAATTAATGCTCTTTATCATGTTGACACCATTATCCATTACAATTGTATGAACTTTATCTACTAATCCCCACTTATGTATTATAAGAAACAATTCTTCACTAATACTTTGACCTGTATGTAGATATGGCATATGATTATTCAAGAGTAATGCTTTCTGAAGCTTAAAATCCGATGTTAGCCATGTTGCGGTTATACCAAGATAACCATGATTACTCTTTGCAGTCCACAAGTCTGTTGTCAAATTAACAGTACTAACATTCAATAATAGCACTTTAAGCTTTTCAGACCCCCACGAATAAGCTTCAGAAATATATTTTTTTACTGTATTAGCGCTTGGTATTTGATACTGTGGTTTGAAACCACGTAGAAGCTTACGGAAAGATAGATTTTTTAATACGTGTAATGGTTGAACATTATATATAATGAACTCTACCACAAGCTTCGTTAATTCCTGTTGCTTTTCATATGAAAGAGTAGGTAGGTCTAAATCTGAACTTATTTCTTGATTAGTTATTATTATAGGCTATTAAAAAAAAAAAAAAAAAAAAAAAATTAGGATATTTGAAATTTAATTATTTTATTATTAAATAAAAATTTACTTCATTATCATCATCAAGGTATTTTCTATAATTTCTTGAATTTATATGATGTTTGGCGCGTAAATGTGTGATCAAATGCCCCATACATTTTCCCGATTTGCTATATGGGTATGGACTAGCCTGAATTCTATCTAATTTATCTAATTCCTCAAATTCCCAAATACAAATTTTACAATATGTAATCGTATTATTATTTTGATCATCCTTAAAAAAAAATCGTGTAAAAGTAGCATTTGCCCTTTTCTTTGGTAAGTTGCTAGAAGCAATTGATGAGGTTGACAGAGCAGATTGGATTGATTGGGTATTAGTGGTGTTAGTAGTATTAGCGGTATTAGTGGTATTAGGGATATTAGTTTTAGTAGTACATCTTTTTTTCCTACTAGGGTTAAGCATTGTCGAATAAAATTTTAAAACAGAACTTTAATAAACTCAAGATTGGTGAAACCAACTATTTATAAAAAAAAATTATCTTTATTTTTTTTAAAAAAAAAAATTATTGATGATACAAGTCGTACTCTAAATGCTCGTTCTCAAGGTACAAATTTTATTATAAATACAAAAGGCTTTTACGGTCATACTCCTCTAAATGTAATGCAAATTTTATTATAAACCTCATAAGCCTTCATGATCATACTCCTTTAAATGACAAATTCGTAAGATGCAATTTTATTATAAACCTTCATATCCATACAGCCACGTCTTTAAATGCATGTTCTCAAGTTGCAAATTTATTATAAACCCATAAGCTTTTACAGTAATATTCCTCAAAATGCAAATACAAATTTTATTATAAACCCCCATAAGCTTTTACAGCTATAAATCATATTCTCTAAATATCAACTTCTATAAATTTTATGTGGATCAAAAAATTAATTTTTTCAAATACATTAACTAATCATTTCAGTAGTCAATATATGGTCATACTTCTCTAAGTGCACAATTCTCCACGTCTCACTTGGCCCTGGCTAATATAACTTTCATTGACCTGACCTTCTAAAATACATGTTTTAGATTTTTCGTTTGGTCCTCCGTGGTATTGTGCTTAACCGTTTTGACTGTATTGATATTATTTAACAAGAAAGTCAAAAAATTGGTATTTAATATTAATCGGCATACGATTGAATTTCAAATTAGTAAATCAAGAATAAGTTCCCTCTAATGCAAATATCTTATTGAGCTTTAAACAAAAAATAATGCTTCAATAAACCTACAATTAGCGATTAATAGTACCGGGACGGATCAAGGATTTAGGAAGATCTAAAATTCTTTTATTTAGTAATTAGTATATTCAAAATATGCTGAAAAATTAGAATCATAAAAAAAAATTCTTAAGTGAATAAAGAAACTTTTACCAATGCATGTTCGCTTGACAATTCACAAGCTTTAGATCGAGGAGTCCAATAAATTCATCGTTAACACAAAGCTACTCAAAGCTACTCAAAGCTACTCAAAGCTTACAGAAAATATTATCACGTTGCTTGAAGAAAGTCACGTGGAGGTCAACAGGAAGTTGAAACAATTTGCTAAAGGTCTTTGTATAATTTTGATGCTCTGTATCCCCGATCTGGATATTATTATTAAATCTGGATATCATAATTAAATCTGGATATCATAATTAAATCCAGATATCATGACTAAATCCGGATATAATCTTTAAATCCGGATTTAAGGGGTTATATCCGGATTCAGGTATTAACTCTACACCACACCAATGAAGTAACAACTCTACAAACAACAACTTTGAAGATAACTTTAATAACAAAGTCTAGTTGCTGAAAAAAAATAGTTGTATATAAAACTAACAAACATAAAACCAGAAAAAATATCAAAACTATGCAACAAAACCTTAAATGATAAATTCACTAAAGCAAAGCACTAGCAACAACATGCTATGAAGTCATTGAAATCAATAGCACTATACAATCTCTAGTAATAGTGGTTTTACAAATAATAGCTTTACAAATGATGGCTCTAAAGACAACTACTCTAATAGCAAAGCCTGGCTAGCTAAAAAAAAAAGCTAGTTAGTAAAATATACACGTACTAAAGTAGCAAGCAAAAAAAAAACATCTATGATAATTATTGTAACACAATTCTATAATCGATATGATCAAGTATATATGTACAGTATTATGATTTTTTTATTAAAAATTATCATTTAATCATTTAATTTATCTCTTGTATCTATCTCTATCCAATAGTAATACTAGTCCAAACAAAGCTAATCACAATAGGTTAACATTTTAATTAAATTTTTTCAAATATAATACATGATATTTATTCAAGTATTACAGTTTATTGGTTATATGCAAAAATAGATATTCTCATACACTACCATATTATGGTTTTAACTATTCTATCAGTTATATACAAATATATATTCTTATATCATTTTATTATACCTAATACAGTTTGTGTTGCTTCACTTCAGCTTTTTATTTTCTTTCCTAAATGCTTTTTTAGAAATACTTCAATAACTAGATGAAAAGTTTAAAGAAGCCTTGAAATCCTGAAAAAAAAGTTAATAAATATGCTCAAAATCAAACATAGCAGACAAAACAACAAATCAAATTTTATACTCTACTGAAATTCAAAAGATTAGAATGTGCTCTAAATTATAATAATTACAATTGAGAGTTCAATATTATGAAATATAATAATAATAACTTTATGTCAAGAGAATTTTAAACCATTTTGACTTATATTTTATTTTATAAACTATTCAGACATTTACACCAACTGCAAAGACAAAATAATTCTCACCAATGCAAGACCAAAAGCGACAAATAAAACACACAACAAATTGTACAAATGATAATATATGATAGCGAAAGCAATGAAATCCAACATTATAGTAATATCACTATTTACTAAATTACTACTAATGCAATAAAGTATTTTACTACCAATAATGATGATACTAATGGTGAAAGCATTTTTACTACGATACTATGATATCACCAACAGTGAAATATTTTCATAATATCACAATAAGTAATAATCTAAAAGAAAGAAAATATTGGTTAATACTAGTATTGGCAAATAGAATAATAGAACTAAAGCTTAATTAATAATTTGTAATTATTTAAATATTTATTGTTAGATTATTAGTAAAGTAATAAATATAAAATATTTTATATTTAATTAATAAAATTTAATCCAAAAATTTGCAATAGAAAAATAAAAAAAGTGAAGCCAATATAATATAGTAAACTTGACAACTCTGATTAACTCATACTATATAAAGATTTATATATAGCATGAAAAAAAAATCAAAAAACATATATTTTAAGATATTTCAAGAACTTTAAACTTAAAAAACCATACTTCTCTAAATATTCCAAAAACTGAAATATAAAGCTCAAAGATGTTTTTGAAAAATACTTGAAAGAAAATAAGTTAGTAAATGTTTCCAAAAACAAGAATAACAAATCAAGATTATACTTTTCTAAAATTCTCAAGACCAAAATGTGCAAGTCAAGCCAAAGAACGAAATAGAAAGGTCAAAAAGCTATCTAAGATTACTCTGTCTAAATAGCAAAGATCTAACAGCATACCAGAAAGGCCAAAAGCAATAAAATCTACACTCAAACTATGGCAATAACACGACTCACTAGTAATTATTTCAATTAATGATGACTTAAACTATAGTAACTCCAACAGTGACGATATTAACTATAGCCTAAAAAAAGAGAATTAGTCATATGTAAAAGAATGAAAAAAGAAGAAAAAACTAATTATCAGTGATAATCGCTTATTATATTCTCAAATTCTTAATATATTTGAAATGTTAGATATTAACACTATATCTAGGCTTTGTTATATAAAATATTTTTTTGTAAAATCAGTCACAAGTTCCAGTTAAGTAGATGATAAAAAAAAACTTGATAATATTACAAATTACCTTTATAGTAAATTTTGTCAAACATTATATCAATAGTAAAATTTAGCAATTATCAGGAGTAAATTTTGTTAAACATCATATAGATTAGATATCATTATAGTAATTTAGCGATTTTTAGGAAAAATTTAGGTTATCTTTTTGTTTCTTTTAGAAGAGTTTTTGTAATAAAAATACTCTCTAATTTTTTTATTATATATATATATATAACTGGGAGATATTTTAGTAGTTTTTAAGTATAGCCAAGATATTACCCTTTAATAACAACTTAGGAAGTTATTGCAGCATATTTTAATTAATATTTTTTTTTATATTTACAGCTTAAAAAAAAAACTAATTAAACAACTAAGAAAAATTGTAATTTTACAATTAGTAAAGTTAAAATTTAAACCCTTAAACTAAAATCTTTAAGCAGTAAATAAGAATTGAGATCAAGTAGATAAGTTGGTCCAGTCTTCTTTGTTTTTATTATTCTTATCAATATTTTTATCATTGGATTCATTGTTACTTTCATTTTCACAGTTAATTCTATTATCACCATCACCTTTATTGCTTTCTTTAGTTTTATTATTATCATTTTTGTAAATATAAAAATTTAAAATTTTTTTAAATTACTAGCATGTAATAAATATAAAATAAATATAAAATATAATATGTTGTACTATTTGTGTACCAGATGTACTACAAGTTTTGCAATATTAACCTACTGTTGTTTATTTATTGAGTAGTATATATTATATGCCTCTACTATGATGCTTTATAATATTTATAGACATCTATACCAGTATTATTTAATTTTTGAGCCATATATAAAAGAATGGTTGACAATTTTTCTACTAGTGCAATTGAAAAAAATTATATTCAATTTTTATAAACTATATATAAATTTGATCTACATAGTATACTGGATATCTCAAAGTTACATGTTAAATTATATTGTAATAAAATTCATTTAATATGTATCTATTATTTATTTCATCATGCTTAGTATCACAAGTGTTTGTGCAAGTATGCAAGAAATAAACCTGAGAAATATGATTAACATAGTTGATTGAAAAAATAAAAGTTTCTCCAAGCTTTTAAGCATAATATGGGAATTCTAATACCAAATAAAACAACTTTGTTCTCTGAAGTTTTTCAAATTAAAAAAATGCATAATTTTATTTATTATTTGCTTTATACTTAAAAATTAGTTTAATTTTAGTATAAGTAATATTTTTTGGATTCTCTATTAACTCTATGATATCTCCTATATAAAATTTCAATTTAATAGAAGCTTTCTTATTATTAAAAAAAGTGTATATAAAGTTGTAAAGTTTGAGTTTTTTATTTAGTAACATATACTAAAATCCAAGTTATTATGTATATGAATTGAAGAGATTCTAAAAAAGTAAATAATTTTTATTAATTGTTATACTTAAATCCATACTTATTATTTTCTTGATGCTCTACTGTTTTTTAAGTTTAATATTAACAAAATTCTCATCATGGCAAATAACACATCTAGTATCTAAAAAAAATTATTTTATATATTTAATAAAAATAATATATAGTTATTGCATACTTTATATACAATAACTGCTGTATTTTATGGATAATAATAATTGGTTAGTAACCCAGCTAATATGGCTGGGTTACTGAATGATCAGAAGAGAACATAATACAGAAGCTATTGTATATGAAGTATGCAGTAAAGTGCTTTATTAAAAATTTGAATATACTAGTTACTATTATCTTTTTTATCTTGTTCAGTTATTAAGAAGAGTAGTGTATTGCCAAAAGCATACTAATTTGAAAAAATTTTATTAAGATAGAAATCCATAACAAGATTAGGAAATATATTGGTATTAATACCAAACTAAGGATTTTGCTAGCCATCAAAGATATGTCTCAATATCTGTATTATATTATAGTGTTAAGTGAGATCAAGTTCAACAATCTTGCAGTTTGTATAAGAAACTATTCCCTTAAAAATATAGTAAACCATTTCTTTTACACTAATGGCAACATTTTTTAGTATTGTGAAGTTTCGAGCATATTGCAAAAGATATATATTTATATGAAGATTAAGTAGATTTTTAAAATATTCTGAAAATATCTGTT